TTACGATTAGTCATCTAGTTCCTAGAGATTATCCTAGACATTAGATATCTAGTTCCCGCAACCTGAACTAAGAATAGTTCAGGTTGCGGGAACTAGATGGCGTTAGTTGTAGCTTTTTGTTTGGGAATAAAAATGGTGGCGTAGCAGTAAACATTTAATTTTTTACGCTTTAGAAATAAAGTAAGGTTTTGTTTTTAATATAAATTGATTTTTATTACATTTTAAGAGATAACCAAACGAGTTTTTAAACATTTTTAGCATAAATTATTTTGAATAATGGGTAAATTAAACGTGTAAATGCGACGTTATTTTACTAAAATTATTTGAATGTTTTATATAAAAACTTGTTATGCATTTATTTGTTTTTACATGCTCAAGTTAATTTGCGAATGCATCTTGCCCGATACTATTTGAAATGCTTTAAAAATAAAATTTCAGTTTAAAGACCAGAGATATTAGCAATATTTTGATGTAAATTAAATTTAATCATTTGATATGAAAATAGCCAAAGCAAAGTGGGACGAGAACTCGTCATAATTAAAGCATTTAAAAAAAAATAAAAAAAAATTAATTTAAGACTTCGTCCTTCAAATATACACTATACACTAAAAGCACTTTAAAATGTAGAAAAACATCATAATTCTAACGTATATGTAAAGAAATTCAAAGATATGTGTGAAGTCAACCCGCAGTAGCCAGAGACGTTGACGTATCCACCCTTTACCAAGGGGATGGCGATATTGGGCTGATGAAAAATGACTTTCAAACTTGTCTTGGGTAGTACACGTACGAAGTACTAAAAAGTAATGTTAGTCGGCACTGTACTAAAAGTAACTTTACCGAACGGCTTCTGTTAATCGGACATTTAGTACTTTTAGTACACTACACGATATCGGTGTTCGCCTCTTCGTTGTTTTATTTGATTGAGTATTTGCCAGATTGAAACCTTTGATGACGAGAATCAAAAGTGGATAAAATCATTCATAACTAAATTTATTTTCGCTAATAACATATGTTTGGCCCTGCTTAAATTTGATGTCATGTAATCTATATCCCTCGTTATATTCTATTCATGTATAGTGTTTTCAGAAATCTGAAGTATTAAAGGTACTAAAAATGTGTACTAGTACGTTTTCCCAATTGTACTAGTACGGTGCGCACTTGCAGATGTCTGATTAAGCCCAATACTATTTCAAACGACTTTGCGTGAATATGCGTTAAAATCTTGTGTCTAGTGTTAAATGGTGAAAGGTTTTAAACGAAAATTCTATGATGATTCTATAGTGTGTCTAAATAATTTAGATTAGTTTGACAATTCACTTCAATTTAAGTAGGGATGGGTTGTGTAAAATCAGTCATCAATCTTATCGATTTTAGATTTTTATTCTCATAGAAGTTGGAATCGATAGATTTATAGTTATAACTTATGAATTAAAAAAAAAACACTGTTTTCTCAAATTAACAATGACCATAACAAATAATGAGAGTAAATAAATGTTTATTATTACTACAGCCGTACGTAATCGAATTGGATTTCGCTATTATTTCTGTCATCGCTAAATTCTCTACATTATAATCAATACTAAATTGTCCTATAAATTATAATTTTAGTTGAGTTCGATAATTATTTAAACCGAATATCGATAGTTCAAAATTGTTCGCTGTGTGTGTTTGTTTCACTACTATACCTGTCTATTAAGTACGGCATCTGCTTTCATACAAATTGAATTCGATACTTCATATGCGTCATTTATCAAACTAATCTATTTTATTTAGACAAACTATAGCGTATGTTATGTTAAAAGAATATGTAGTTCAAACTTATTAAAACTATAAACGTTCAGTTTTAATTTATATCTGTCAAGTGTAAAAATAGTGCCAAAATTTCGATTGTCAGTTAACCTGTACAGTTCGAAGGGTTATGTTTTGAACTGAAAGTATGACAGAAAGTACTAAAATAATTTAAACTACTAAAATTTTAAAGATACTGGCTGTTCCCGTGCGATTTCATCAGCACAAAATTATTTTAATGTTTACGTGTGTCAAATTGTCAATTGCATGCATTGATGTTGGCAGCAACTTATGGTCTCTTTCCCACATTAGGGATTTTATCCAAAATATTTACCCCTAAGTTTAATGGCGTGAAAATATATAGCCTAAAGCGTGACGTAAGTGTAGGGATTTTTATTAAAAAAAGAATTATTCAAAAATATGGTGGAATTGCTGACATCTTAGGCAACAAAGAAGTGTGTGTTTACGCTTATTATAATATAGTATAAATTTTTTTTAATTAAATAAGTTAGAATAAGCAATACGGTGATATTTTGTATGGATTTTTCGCAACTTGTAAACAAATATTTTGGAATTCATAATAAAAAATAATGCGAATTATATGTTCGTTATTTTAACAAATGTTCATATTTCGAGCTCCTCTTGTAAAAGAAAATTTGCAACAATAAGATTTCACGTACACCTTTGACTAAACTATCGCACAACTGTTTGGAGTCACTTTGAAATGCGCACACTACTCGATTTTTAGTTCTGCAAAAAACAGTTGAATTGGCTGCAAAACAATCGCAAAACAGTTGTGCGATTGTTTTGTCAAAGGTGTGCGCCCGCTCTTGTTATGTAAGCCAACAATAGAGGAAGTAAACTAAACAGCTTATTACTGGTTTAAATTTAAATCTGCGACTATCTTGTATTTTAGAAAGTGCCTTTGTTTGGCGAGAAACCGGATGTAGGCGTTTTTTACATTGGTCTCTACACAAATGTTGAAATCCTAGAAATTACATAGAGCATAAGTTTTACTGAATGAAATAACTAAGTACTAAAAATAACAATAAACTGCTTGCAGTTTGTCGAAATTACATATTTTTGTATTAAATTTAAGTTACTTATAACTAAATAAAAAAAAAAATTAAAACCCCGTTGCCAATAGTTCAATTATTTTACACAAAAAGCATTTGTTAATCGATCTTTTTTGTCAAAGGTAAAAATTTAACAATTTCATATTGTTAAGGACAATGTACATTGTTTTATTTCTTTACAGGTAAGCAAATTATAAGTGATTTCAATTTGCAACGTTGGTAAGTATGATATTTATTATCCACTAGCTTTGCTCGTGTGTTTTCATCCGCAGAATTAATCCTTAATCTTATTTATAAATAAAAGCTTGATTTTATTACTAGCTTTTGCTCGCGACTCCGTCCGCATAGTATTAAATAACAAAAGTGCCTATAGTATAGTATATAGTATTAAATAACAAAATAGCCTATGTGTTCTTCCAGACTTCTACATCTGTACCGAATTTCATCGAAGTCGGTTCAGCCGTTTAGACTATAAACTCTAACAAACATCCACCCATCTAAACTTTCGCATTTATAATGTTATGTATGACTAGCTTTCGCCCGCGACTCCGTCCGCGCGGAATTAAAAAAAAAAACAAAAGTGAGTAGCCTATGTGTTCTTCCAGACTATCCTCTACATCTATGCCAAATTTTATCGAGATCCGTTCAGCAGTTTAGGCTACAAACTCTAACAAACATCCATCCATCCATCTAAACTTTCGCATTTATAATATTAGTAAGAAGTAAGATTAGTATGATTTACACTTTAAAAACTTTCAATTACAAATATCTAAATTCAAATGCTCTAATGATAACGAAGGCCCTTGTTATTGACTGAGAATTTAACCATCGCAATGCATTTTGCTTGTAGTTTTGTACCTTACTTTCCAATATGTTCACACCCTAAATAAAACAGCTTGAAAATATACAGCCTGTAGACTATTAAGTGTAGGGCTTATTATTACGAAATGGTTATTAAAAAAACCTCGTAATTAAACAAGACTATGCTAATTTTAAAATAAAAAGGCTTTAATATTATTGAAAGGCGTTTAACATAAGTTTAG